GCGTAGCCGCTTCAAGACGAGGCACCGGGGTAGGAAGGATGGTTATATAATTTTGACATAGGGCTTCTCTCGAGCCAAGCGTGTCAGCCGAGTTCCCGAGCCTGCTCGCCAGGCACAGCCAGAGGCGAGAGTGAGAGGCAGGCAGTGCAAGAGCCGACGACACGAAGTTTCGTTTTAGCATCGCCAGGCGAGCCAGGGCAGGGCCCCGCAAACGATGCACACATGCGGCACAGCAAAGAAGCTTAATTTTGCTGGCGTACTAAGAAATCGTTCTATTTTAGAGTATACGCCAAGTGGGTATGGAGACGCTCACTCGGCTCACTCGCTCCTCGCCCATTACTACCACCATGCACCCTTGGCACCCTCTCTTGATCCATCCTCTGCCCTGCCGAAACCAAGAGCCTCCAAAGCCAGGAAATTTATCTTCCGGTTCTACTTACACATAGTTGTCTGTGTTGACTTCAAGTCGACGTGGAGAGAAGATCTTTGCGTCATTGGCGACATTGCCATGGCCTAACTCTGGTTGCAACCGGCTTTCGGGCATCGGCGAAAAAGATACAAGCCGGCCGTCGCTGCGCAGAATCCGTCCAAGTGCGAACGATTACTGTTCTTCGTCATGGCGGTGCCGCGGGTCCCCACCGTGGTCTAACATCAGGCGAACAGGCCCTCGAGATATTCTTTGCTCAGCTCGCCTGTGCCAGGACTACCTGAGCATGCATAGTAAAGCTCGATAAGCATGGATCTTCGCCAGCCCATCCAGTATGCCAGTACAGTGGGCAAAGGTGCCTAGCGTAATGTGAAACAATCGAATTACTGCTCGAGCGATACTCCGTACGTTAGGCATGCCTCGGCACCGCAACGGATCGAGGCTCACAACCGTCCTGGATGTTGAATCGATTCGCTATCTATCACTTTCTGTGGTCCACTGCTGGCCTGCATATTCTGCGTATTTTGCACACTCTTCACTCCAGCCAAGGGGATATGACAGTCTGCCTGCCTAATCTGGTATATTTCGCGTCACAGGAGAGAGGAGAGGCCGTCGTTGTTCCCATCCTGCGATGCGTCTGCCATAGGCTCAACCAAAGTCTTGGTACAATGCGCAACGTCTGTTTGGCTGCTCGCTAGGTATTACGTGGGCCACCCATGTGTGCCATACTCGTCTATGCCCTTCAATCCCGCCCGGCCGGCAACTCCAGCAGCTGTCTCCAATGAGCTCCGCTGTTTTTTTGCGGCGTGTATGTTGTCAGTCGATGGAATAAGCAACCGATCCCAGTTCCGCCTCGCCCGTAGCCTGGGCCTGCCCTTGCCCACCCCGGCCCAGCACCCAATAAGAATCCCTAGTGTTGAAGTCGCACCAGTACGCCAAGCACTCTACCAGAATATGTGCGTTAGTTACCATGTATCCATCGACCGACATACGCACTTAGTACAGAGGCCGTGATGGGCTTCGCAGTCGACAATGGATCACATCCTAGGCGGCATTGGGTCAGCATGGAGTCAGACAACCCGCAGTACGCTAGAGGGGTCCAGGTCGACCGTCACGGCACAATGCCTTTCTATATAGGGCTGGCACGCCCTCTTCATTACGCAGGTGGCACTTGAGGTGATGTTGTAACATTTGTTCTTATCTAGATTTCAACATGGCTGGTGTTTGGATTTACCCTGTCCTCGCCCTCGTGGGCTGGGCGATATATCGCATACTTCAGATAGGAAGCAGACCGAAAGACTTCCCTCCCGGACCTCCCACCCTCCCCATCATAGGAAACTTACACTTGATGCCCAAGGAGGATGGACACGTTCAGTTTAAGAAATGGGCCGAGGAATATGGGTAAATACTTACGTCCTCGGACTTAACTCGAACAAGTGCTAACATTTTCTGAAGTCCGGTTTACTCGCTCATGCTGGGACCTAATGTCATGATAGTCTTTTCTTCAGACCAAGCCGTAAAGGATACGTTCGACAAGAAGAGCTCGATCTACTCGTCCCGCCCTGAGGTTTACATTGCACGAACAGTTGGTGGCTCACACAAAGTCGATGGCGGCTACCGCGTTCTCAACATGGTAAGCCGATATCATGAACATCCATCAGATATACCACCACTAACATGCTATCTTAATTAGCCTTACGGTGACCGATGGAGGATGGCCCACCGTGTCTACCACAGCATTCTCAACATCAAGGCCGCCAAGAGCTTCGTCCCCTACCAAGACCTCGAGAACAAGCAGATGCTTCAAGGATTCCTGGACAACCCCGAGGCTTTCATCGACCATCTACGTCGCTACTCCTTCTCTTTGACCACTCAGATGATCTACGGTTTCCGGACACCGACCCTGGATGACTGGAGACTCAAGTCGCTGTTCCACAACCTCCACCAATTCTCCAAAGCTATGGGCACGGCGTCGGCTATGATCCTTGACATGTTCCCCCCTATGCGGGCCTTGCCAGACTCTCTTGTCGCGAGCCGCGCGCATGCGAAGAACCTGCACGAGATCGAGCTCAAGTTCCACAAGGGCAACTGGATGGACGTCAAGAAGAAGCTGAAGGCTGGTACTGCTAAGGTATTTCGACCCCCTCCTCGTTCTGTAACCTGGGGAATTGTATACTAACACCGACCGTAACAGCCCTCTCTCTGTGTCGATTTGATCAAGGCCCAAGACGCCGAGGGTTTCTCTGATGAACAGGCCGGCTACATCGCCGGCAACCTACTCGAAGCCGGTGCCGACACCACAGCTGCCCAGCTCACAGGATTCGTCCAAGCGATGCTGCTGTTCCCCGAAGTGCAGAAGAAGGCCCAGGAGGAGCTTGACCGCGTCTGCGGCGGCCGTCTGCCGACCATCGACGACATGGACGACCTCCCCTACATCCGTGCTTGCGTGAAGGAGACCAACCGATGGATGCCCACCGCCATTCTGGGCATTGCGCACTCGAACAACAAGGAGGACTTCTACGCCGGCTACAGAATCCCTAAGGACTCGATGTGTGTGGTGAATGTCTGGTATGTTATGGCCCTCTTCTTCTTTTTCTCCCCAAAACCCACATCGTGTCAAGAATTGATCGACTAACACGAAATCTGTAGGGCTATCCACATGGACCCCAAGCGCCACCCTAACCCAACCGTCTTCGACCCGGAACGGTACATCGACGACAACACAACCTCTCTCGAGTCCTCGCAGCAGCGCGACGTGTCGAAGCGCGATAACTTCCTCTTTGGCGTCGGTCGCCGCATCTGCCAGGGCATGCACATTGCCGACCGGTCAATGTTCCTAGCCATCTCGCGGTTGTTGTGGGGTTTCCGCATGGAAACCACCATCGATGCCTCCGGAAACGCCGTCGTCCCCGACCCGACCAAGCTTATTCCCGGAATGCTGGTGCAGCCGGAACCTTTCAAAGCCGCCATTGTCCCTAGAACGCAGAAGCACGCCGAGACGATAAAAGCCGAGTGGGCGGATGCCTTCACGCTCCTAGATGAGGAGGAGCAGTGGAGCGAAATCCCCAAGGGCATGGCGCTATCGACGTATGAGCCGATGGCTGCTGCGGATATGGAGAAGGTTTAGGTGCCTGCCCCCTTGCTGGCTTTCCTTTTCCAATGATTTATTGGAAGTATATATATACCATCTGCAAACTCCATAGCAGTATTTTTCTGCGGATTTTTGCTTGTACATACTGTTTGTTTTTCTGTTTTTGCTGTCTTTTTTAGCATGACCGGACTGGATGGGTAGGGGTGTGTGATACCAAAGGAATACTGGGCTCCTGGGTTGGAGCCATGGGATTCTTTCTTTGTTTCTTGCTTGGCGTATTAGAGGAGCTGTCTATCTGTCTATCTATCTATAACTGAACTTGATTTATAGACTAGAATGGAGAAGAAGAAGAAGAAGAAGAATATGAAGAAATAAAAAATAAAAAAAAGGATCGAAATCAAACCTTGGGCAGCATATAGTTGATGCAATAAGGCAATCAATATGCGATGATCGACATAGATTGTTATTATTGGTCTGTCTCTTTGTTGCCTTCAGGTATATTGCACTCGTGGCTGATCAAGGTCTAACTAGATAGCCTGTTAAGCAGCACACATTCTTCTTAATAACACTTTTATCAATGTACCGCCCAGGCGCCCCTGTCGCCTGGCTTGTTCAGCACTAGCCAGATCTAAATCTATGGGTAACAACTCAACACCCTTTCCTTGGGGGCTAAAAATGCAGTGAAACCGCCCCGTGTGACAAGAGATGGATAACAAACCTCAACCTTTATACTACTGCTTAACAACACTTTGAAACAGCTACTATGAAGCTAATACACGCATTTAAATAAACACATCATGCTAGCGAGCGTTGGGAAATGGCTAGGCTTTTCTTGTCTTTGCTGTTGAAGACATGGCCCTTCCTTCCCTTTTGCCTTCCTAGTGAGGAGGGTTTTCTCTGGATATAATTAATCGTCATGGACAGATAACACAGAGAACAGGTACGGAGCTAGGGCTGTCGGAAGAGACCCTGGCTATTGATCTCTTTACTTTACGGTTGGGGAAATATGCGATTTTGTTGGTTGTAAGGAAGGTTTGCGTCTCTTCTTGTAGTACTGAGGTTTGTAATACTCAGACTTTCTCTTACCTGACCTAACTACCTAGGTAGTTTGGGTCCTAAGTGTGGTTGTGTGACTGGACAATGATAGGTCATGTTGGATTGCTTGTTCAACTTTGTGCCGTATGACAGTGTATGTAGGTGTGTATCCCTGTGATCTCTTGTGAATGAATGCAGGCAGTCAGTCAGTCAGTCACGTGTGACTAGACTTATTATCACTATCACTATCATACTACTACCTAGGTACTGAAACCCCTAGAGACACAATGCATAATCTCTATCTAGAGTGAATCGTGAATGAATGCCTATTGCTCATGGTGAACGGCCTACCTAGAGAGCTGGATGTGGGTGTGGATCTGGACGTGATAGTACGAGACACGTTGTAGCGAAGTCATTGAACATTGGGTCACAGACGACGAGACGAAGGCCGGGCTAGCTCAATTGGAAGAGCGTTCGCTTTACTCTACTTAGATTGAATGGTTGCAAGTTCGAACCTTGCGCTTGGCCGATGATTTTTTTTCTCTTGTTTGTTATCTCAGGTATGTGTGTCTTAGAACTATGTTATGTTTCAGTATCTATGCTATGTATTGAAAGAAAGGTTAATAGGAAGGGAGAGAGGAGGGGATCTGTTTAGCTACCTAGGTAGCTAAGGGTTAATAGAAAAACATGTGTTAAGTAATCAATATATAATGCTTAGCGGGCGGGCTAAGTAAGGAGTAGGCATTTGAGGAACAAATAGTTTGTTGTGTAGCCCTCATGATTAACATGACGGCACATATAGACAGATACAGATACCTGCCGAGTAGATTGGGACAGTGTTACTATGATCAATGCTTGGGTTCTGTCTTGTTGCATTCCCTCTTGTAGTTATTTCTAAGTTGGCTTGAAACCCGAGGAATTGCTACTGGATCCTGATAAGTGCCCGGGTGTGGAGGCTTGCTGGCGACACTGTCTTGGAATGTGTTATTTAAGGGCTTAAGCTTATCGGTCTTCTAGGGAGTTAGAAACTCCTTGAATTACTATGTATTATAAAGGATAGAGAAGTGAGTAAGGAGAAGGCGACGTTGCGGTGTTGAATCCGTTTATGCTGTGTAGATTCGTCGGATTATCAAAGTAAGAAGCTTGGCTTGTATGAATGGCCGTGACGTCCGAGTATAAGACGATTGTCTTACTAAGAAATCCATGTTGTTTATGATCTTCCGCCAAGCTGAAGATAGTCCATGTTCATATCCTTGTGCTGAGTAGACCTGATATGAAGCTGATCAATCACTTACAATTGAACTCAATGTGCTGAGGTAGTGTTGTTTGGAGATAGTCTTCGAGGTGGAAGGTCGTCATTTTGTGTTGATGTGTCGTATCTAGGTAGGTACAAGTTGGTATCTTGTCACTACTGTTTTAGTTGTTGTTACGAAAAATCCATTAAGTCAGCTAACTAAGCGTTTATCTTGGGCATATTATGTTGGGGTGAGTTACCTTATGGACTCCCTCAGTTCAAGTGTAATCGATCTCTTCTGATCTCATGTCCACTCCTTACCTACTATCTAAATCATGTCACCTTGAATGAACTTTTCATCTTGATTATCATGTTCTCAATCCAACAGCTAATTTTCCTTAAATGCATTTACTACAACTGTTCGAATTCAATATAGTTCCCCTGACAATCTCTTCCTCAAATATTGTTTAGATTAGGTAGGCTTGCACCTTTAATTGTTTCGATCTGGTTTACCAGTGCACTTGTAAAGGGCATCTCATCTTCCGGTCTCTCGCTATCTTGTGTCATAGTATATATAGCCTTAGGAAATGTACTGCTATCACCCAGTCTCCATATCTCGCATGGTGTAGATAGATTGGGTTCTTCCAAGTGAACAAGCACTATCTTCGACATGCACAGCCACACCGCGCTCAGCTTAGCACAAGGGTGGATGATAAGTCTTATAAAGGAAGAACATCAACAAGTCCGTACATACCATACACGGCATACGCTGATTATCACCGAATAATGCGACTGCCTGATTCGAGATTGACATCTATTATGTAATACCTCGTGATTTGTCTCGCCTCTTACTCGGCAGGATCTGAACGTATTTAGGTCATCATGACATAATTGTAGCATCTATTGCTCGCTCGGCTTCGCGAGGTGAACTGCAACCGAAACAATATACATATAACTCTCGTGTTCATGAAGATGTATAGGTGGTGAGGGTGGTATACGCGTTGCGCTGTGTTGTGTTGCGTACCCAGTCGCACGTCAGCTGGTTGTGGCTGAGTGAGGGCAAGACTGTGGCGGCGGCGATGGTCAAAGCAGGGAATCATCCCTTGGGAGAAGGGCGAATTCGGTCTGTTGCGACAACGGAAAATGATGGCAAATCTTAAAGCGCTACTCGTCTCTAAACATTGCCATGATTTCCATCGTCGCCTCAAGTGTGTATCTAGGTACCTCTTAGGCAGAAACTTAACTTATTTCCCGGTGCGTTGAGCGTTTGTCGGGCGAGTCGGGACGCGCTCGGGTACCTTAATCTTATTCTGCTGCCTGGCTGCTGCAAGCAGGAGGGAGGGATGCAAAGCAAGCAGATCCGGAGAACCTTGCGTAACGGCGTCTTGGCACTGATCTACATACGATTTACCGTACCCTGCCCAGCCCAGAATAAAGACAGAGAGGGCGAAGCACATACTTAGACGAAAGAACGCGCATCTAGTTACGCAACAGACGCGTCGGGTATTTTGATCGATTTTTGGGTTTGCCAATTTGCGGATTCAACGATTCTAAGGTCGGTTGACAAGGGAGTTCGGTTCGCTGTGGAAGTGGATGTCGCGAGTGATGGCAATCTGTTTCGGGGGGGGATCCTTCTGGCTGCAAGCGAAAGGTCCAAAACGCGAGTCCCTGTCCCGCCTGTGTACCCCAACAATGTCGGCATATGCAGACGATTATGTAGAAACGGCAGGTATGTGCAAATTGATAGCACCCTAGAATATCATAAAAGCTACGTACAGAGGCACTCTGCTATTATGCTATTGTTGTTTCAGCTGTTATTAGCATGTCATTGAAGAGCTCAAAAGCTGAGGGTCATTTAGAGTTGGCTTTGACTTCAAGAGACTACCACGAGACATTCTTGGCTCGCAGCGCAGTAAGTACAACATCGAATAGCTTATTTGTCAGTAGGTTGTCGTTAGCAGACGATCTTATAGCTCGAATCCTGAAGTACAATTGCCATCATTTGTAACATTGGATTATGTAGACAACAGTAATATAGTTCCCAGACAGGATCTTCAGCAGTTGCGCAGTTGCGCAGTTGCCATGCCACTCGGGCTGTTTTGCCGAAAGAAATGGCCTTGATATTGATAGTACAAACGACGTCACTGGAGTGTCACGGGCAGGTAGCGGTGCTACAAACGGCGCAGCACCAATACCCGCATCGGTTAGCTTGGCAATGCGGGAGGTTTGCTCGTTCGAAGAGCTCTAGCAGAACTCTAGCGGTCCCTCGAATAGAGTCGAGGGAAAAAACAACCCCCCTTGATGAAGCATAGCGCAAAAGAGCCGAAGACAGGGCAGTATGATTGGTTACAGAGCTCTATGTGGGCCGGCACTCCGCCCGCTTTGTTGATCTGAAACAAGATGTCATTTGGTCACATTTGGGGGCAGGATCTGGAGTTCCAACCTTGGAGGTGCTAAGCCCGGCGCAGCGCGGCCTAGCAACGCAGCCAGTGCAACTCAGCAGCGCCGCAGCAACGAGACCGAGAGACACCATTCAAACTCAGCCCTCGTTCGGATAGAGTCTAGCATTTGGCGCCCATACCACTTAGAACCTAGGCCAATAGAATGCACATCCTAACTTGAGGTCACACTCGTTCATTGATCTTTGCTTTTTGCTTTTGGTGGCAGCTGTCTGTCTCATTCCAACCTTTCCCTCCCCATTTCCCTTTCAGAGTCATTCAAGGCAAAACAGCCGTCTTACAACACGTCGCGCCAGCCTTGAACGGGTTTCCTCAATTTGATTGTTCGTGCACCCTGAACTTGGACTTGGACTTGGACTTGGACTTGGGGACTCGACAAGAAAGGGGTCGGTCGGCATTGTGTACAGAAGACAGCTATTCTTTCTGGCACTGCGCGCGAAACCGAACCAGCAAATCACCAGGCCTCCTTGATACATCACACGCCCCCCCTTCGCGGGCCCTCCCTCTGCTGCATCGCCGGATCCCTGGATTGCTGTGGTCGTAGTTACTACTGGCTGCTGTCGGAAGACGAGGTTGGCGCGCTCTATCTGACACACCCGAGCTGCCGGATCTTTTCCCCATTCGAGCCCCATGCGTGCCTGTCGCACCCGTTGCCCGTCATAGCCTGCCACGCTACGCATCGCATATCGCATACGAATCGCAGGCTCGCAAGCCCAGCGCATCGCCGCCCATCCCTTCGCTCATTCGTTGGTTCATTTTCTCGAGAAATCAAGAGAGATCAAGACATACCAAGATACTTCAGACGATATAGACTGAACCATGTCGTATAATCGACTAGGTAAGCCAGTAAACTTCCACTTCATGCATCGGCTGCCGCTGCTTGCTGCTCCCTCCCGCTGCTGCTACTGCTACTGCTGCTGCTACTGCCGCACCTTGCACCTGCATCTGCACCTTTGTTGAACTCTGCGTCTCTTGTCTCTCTGTCTTGCCTAGCCATCCATGCCTTACATGCCTTACACCATTGTCGGTGTCGTCATTGTCTAAGACTAAGACTCCCGTTGAACGGCGTCTTGTTCGCGACCCTTTGATAGGGAGACACCCTCGACACCTAACCCATTCAGAGCACTCGATGCGCGTGCTATAACTCCCACTCAGCTCCCGACTCCTTCTCTAACCCGTCTGTGCTTCTAGACGATAATTATTACGATCCAACCATGGATAACGGTCGTGGACGTCCACACCGGACCCCCTCGCCCGGACATCCTGTGCAAGGCGGCTACCAGCTCGACGATGTCCCCTATGGCGACTACGGCGCCCACTCCGGCAGCCACCTCAACATGCCTGCCGCCGGCGCCCACTACAACGCCCCGAGCGACAACCACCTGCCTCTGAATGCTGCGCATTCCACGAGCGATCTATCTCACAGCCCTTATGGCCAGAGCCCGCCGGGCTATGCCCCCGAGTATGCCGTGAACCCAGAGCAGCACCATGACAACTACTACAACCAGCCATACGAGCCCCAGAGTTCCACCACCCCTCTGAATGACCACCAAGGCTACGATTATAACGATGATGACGGCCGCCCCATACTGGCCCAGAACGACTCATATTCACACGCGCCGGCGCAAGAACCCTACAGGGACGAACCGCGACAGGGTGGCGGCGGCGGAGCTATCAAGAGGTGGAAGACAGTGAAGCAGGTCCTGCTGTACCGCGGAAACTTGGTTCTCGACTGTCCAGTGCCCCCGCGGTTACTCAACCAGCTCCCCCACGGCGAGCGCGATGAATTCACCCACATGCGCTACACTGCCGCCACCTGCGACCCCAACGACTTC